ACCAAGGACAATGAGCACAAGCGCTCTCTCGTGAAGACCCCAGCACGGAAGTCCCCCTACACAGTGGCCGAGTCCAGTACCCCAGGCGCCGGACCAGCAAAACGGGCCACATCAGAATCTAATAAACCAGGAGGCCCTGCCTCTCATTCCAAAGTGCAAGGTAGAGACTGACCACAACCATATTTGAACTTAATTAGGATTGACGTTGCATCTGTTACTGTTGCAATGTGATTGTATTAAGTGTGGGTGTGATTTGATCATGTGTAACATAACTGTACTAATCAAAACTTGGACACCTAATTTCCTAGCAGTTTTGAATCTTACCTACTGTAGACAAAAAGGAGAAGCATGTGGGAGTGACTAGTAACAATCCAGATTGTGTAACTTGTTAGCTGAGGCAGATAAATCATAGCGTTTTTTTAAATGATGGGTCTGGGGTTTTTCATTAAAATCATGTAGCTGATTCAGATTCCTTGTAAATGGGGATCATATGTATGCCTGCTATTGTGAAGGAAAATATATACTGTGATAGTGCAGAAATGGGGCACTGTTTTAAAATTATTTGCAGAATGCATGTGAAGGTTTTGCATTCATATACAAGACTGTTGATAGCACAGACAGAAATGGTAATTTACAAAGAAGGGTTTTGTTGTGTTTCTGTGTACATATTACACCCTGCCTCCAGTAACTACTCTTGTCCAGGTGCTCTATTGATGAATTGTCATTTACTTCAAACTTGTTTAATTGTAGTGACACCGTTCGTGTTCAAAGGAGATGCAAATACCAGCATTTCTGACACTCCAGGGACTAACGTGAAAAAAAATGCTTTTGATTTGAAGGCCAGCCTTGCTCGTCCTCTTTCCTACCAGCCACACAAAGGTAAGCTTCCACATTTAGCAGCTGGATTGCATTTTACAGATGTCGAACAAATGATATTCTATATGATAGTTTTACATTCATTCATGAATGTCCTAGCAATAACAATATATACTGTATACTGTAATTTAAATGTTTTATTTTGAAGCAAGGTTTTATACAAAGTATAATCATTCAGTCTGTGCGCTTCAACTTTCTATAACTATACTGTATACATTACCTTCAGTGTTAAATTTAAATCTTTGCCGGCTGTGGTTTTTTTCATGTTTGATGTAATGACTAAAGAGCATATTGTCTTGAAACGTTAGCAAAAATGTACACTTTTGGAAAAGGGCCCTTTGTTTTCCAGCCCAAATGGTGGAGAGCACATACAGTACATACATTAATTAACTTAAATGGGATTAGCATATGGCATTTGCCCATTCTAAACCTTGTTACTATAACAAAGTATATCAAATTAAGGTTTATTTTTCTGTAAATGATTATACAATGGGCAGACCAAAGGTAGCCTAATTAGTCCAAATATCACTGTGCTTAGTCTGGGTTAAATTAAAAAGCAGCCATACCCTAGGCTTATCAGGTCTCTCTGATTTGGTCTAGTTTCTCAGAAGGAGCCTAACAAAGCTCATGTGAACAAGCCTTAACAAGCCTTAAGTTAACACTGTCCAGTTATGGCTCTACATAGGAAGACAAATTACATTTATCAAGATTTACATTACATTTATCTTAATCTGTTGAATGTGTTATCAATGCCTTTGTTTTATTTAAGGGAAACTGAAGCCATTTGGAGTGATTCAGGAAAATGCACCCCTCTTAAACAAGTCCCAGAATTCACACCAGAACAATTACAAACAACACCCAGTGCAGACAAGGTGAGCTGAATGTTGTAGCCATTTCTACAAAAACAGAATGATTTTTCTTTCATGATCTAATGAGATTTAAAACTGCTGCTTCTTGAAAATCACTGCTGATGTTACTTATCTGATGTATGTGAGTGTTAGATTGTACAAATGGCTTGTCTGGAATGATCTATGACAGGATTTCAATCTCATTTTCTGTGGCAGCCAGGTTAAATTTAATTTAATTCAAGTCGGATATACAAACAATAAATTATTGAAATACATGGCACAACTGTCACATAGTCTTAATTGGCAGTGTTTTTTTTGGGCTTTATAACTGTTTCCCTTTAAATCACAGATCAAAGTCATTGTGTCCTCATTAGATGTTACTCTACAAAACCGTACCAATTATCATTTGGATTACCCTTTTAACCATTTTTATTGAAGCTTCCGATAATCACAGCAGTGATATCTTGCATTTCATGTTTTTTTTTATATTACAGTGTTAAACAAAATCTATGATAACAGTAAATAGGAACACTGCAGTTGAATAGAAGTATATCACAGGGAGTTTGTCTGTGAGACTGATACAGTAACTTTACAAAGAGATCCTGCTTTGTGATCAAAGAGGAAAGATGTAAATCCTGGCCAAATACTCTTAATTGTGTCTGCTACATGGGCCCTAGGGGACAGACCCAGCGCGGTATAGCAAGTTATGACCTTCTCCGATGTAGCATTCCAGTTTACATTGTAAAGCCTCAGTATGATGCTAATGGAACCTGTAATGTGTCTTGATTTCTTTCAGGGAAGAGAGGCGTACGCTCCACACAAAAGACAGGAAGCAGAAAAAAGACAAACTGCTTGGAACCCGAAGAGGCTTAGTACTGAATTGAGCCTTTAAATCATCCAAGCATTTCTCCATGTTCTGTAAATACTACTCATCTTTTTTTTTTACCCGTCTTCACTGCTTGATGTTATTTGACCTTAAAGTTATGTTTTATTTGGTGTCGAGCTGGTGTCAATAATGCTTTTAAGTAGGCTTTATGCATAGCGCTAATTTAAGAAATCCAATACTGTCAAAGCCTTTTCAAGATGCTTGTAAAATGGTAATTCAGTAGTCTACGTTGTAAATAAAATACATTAAGGTGTTGTTTATAAAAGCAAGGGTCAAAATATCATGCCCAAAACTATACACAATACATAACTCATTTGTTTTTACATAACTAAGAGCAGTTTGTTTTAATGCTTCTATGGTTAAAAATAATTTTAATGATCGTTTAGTTTCACAGTGGGCCACATTTTATGTATTTAATGTCTCTGAGATAGAACACTGCTTCCAACATTAACTCTGGGAAGTCTAGTGAGGAGATAAAGAAAAGATTGTGAACTTTTTTTATACCTCTGGGAAAGCAAGAAAAATTAGAACAGACCACTCTTGTACATTATTCTTTAATACAGATCTGGTATTGCCCCTTACACTTCAGGATTCCTCTTGTATTTCTCATAAGCGAACTCCTCGGCGTGTGCACGGTCATTACACACAGCTATGAAGTCTATCTCCAGTTGAAATGGTCCATCTGTCTTGTCACCCAGTGTGAACCCTATTGTGTTGATCTGAAAAAGAGTTACAGCTGATAAGCCTTACAGGAGAAAAGAGCTTGTGTAGCTAGTGGGATTCCAATTAACTGGAAAGGCAAATCCTGCAAGCCAGGAGGTCAAGACTGCAAAGGATTATTTTAGAATCCTGATGGAATGGTGGCTGTTTCCCTTGTGAGATGCTTACGTTGTTCCATGGCTGTAGCAGTTTTCTTTGCCTTTCTGAGACTATAGATTTATTTGAAGGACATAACCAAAACAGAAAGAGCTCAGCTTTTAATATTTGTAGTGGATCAAAGGGTGAGAACTTACAGATGACCAGAAATGCAAAACAGCTGTCAATACTTGTATACATCAACAAATCTTTTTCTTTGACAAAGTATACAATCTCCCACAGGAAAGCACTTTTTAGAATCTCCACTCGGCTCTGTTATAAAATGTCAGGGTAACCAGTATTTCACTAAACATTTATCAGGAAACAGATCCAAGTGGATTGCTTAGAAGGTGGAATAATAGATGTGCCAAAAATTCTAGTTTCACTGATGCAGTCAAAACACAGTTTACAATTTCACTGACACAGTGACATTCTCACCTTATCTAACCACAGTGGGTGCTGATTGTCTTGTATTCTTCCCCGGCTCGAGAGAAAAAACTTTGAAAATGGAATCTGGAAAGGAAACCAGTTCATTAAACTTGTAGAAAGGACTGAATGTACATAATGATTTTTATTCCCTTAAGAAAGTCTCGATCCCAGTTCTGTACCTATAGTTATGGATTTAGGTTAAGAGCCCAGCTAGAGTGAAACATACTAGTACTAGAGCACCAGGATTAAGGACCCCTACCTTAAGGCTTTGTGCAAGTCACAAGCTAATGAAGTATATATGAAAAGAGTGAATTAATTTTTAAAAAGCTTGACTGAACAAATCCAGGTGTAGAATTTAACTCCTTCACTAACAAATGGAAATGAGACCAAATGATTTGTAATCCTCTGAGATGTGTGCGTCTTACCTTGACATCCTGCCAGAAGGGTCCGCCGCGTGTGAACAGGAAGTAGTTGTACATGTCATCTCTCTGGTGGGAGAAGTAGGTCTCGGTAGCAATGTTAATCATCCACGGCCGCCCGTCTCCGCGGATGCGCAGGTGCAGAGTATTAAAACTGGACCAGTCGTGGTGCTTCTTCCGATCAAAGGCATTCTACAGGGAAATATTTTTACCAGCATTACTAGGCAAACATTGCAATCCTGTCTCTTGCCAATGTGTCATTTAGGAAATTAACTTGGGCCTGTCTTGGGGGAACTCTATCTACCTCTCTTGAATAATTAAAATCTCATTTTTAATATATTCCAATAGCCTAGTCTGCCATATTTGCAGTTCAGAATATAGTGTAAATACCATGAAAACACTACTTAAGAAGTAGAGGAACTGATAGTAATTAAGATCATAATACGGAGTCTATGGCCAGTGCTAATGGCATTAAATGCCAAGGACTGTAGTGCCCTGAGAAGTCTAGAGAGGAGATAATACAAATACCTTTGTATTTTAACTGATAACTATTACCAACTCCCAAATCAATCAAAACATTGATGTAAATTCCCATAACGGCAGTGTGGCCAGACATTGCCCTTGACTACCAGACTGCTTGTGTGTACTGACCAGTGGCTGTCTGGAGCGCAGAGTGCAGTAGCCGCTGTACCGTGTCTCCCCATCTCTGGGAGGCGCTGTATACAGAGTGCCATACAGCAGGCAGGTTTGGTTGTTTCTCCCCAGCTTCAGGTATGCTTCACTCTTCCCTCCGATCTCCTGGTCCGAGGACACTACCCACTGTTCCAGGCTCTCTGGACCCCTGAATTCCCATAACAACTTTGTCTGTTCCAGCATATGCTCCCTGAGGCTCCTCCCCTCCGGCCCCACCCAGCGCTCCACCATCTCCTGCTTCAGCAGCCCAAAATGCTTCTTCACGCCCTCCACCCCCTTGGGGAAGCTAAAGCGGATCTTCTTCCAAGGCGGCGTGTTGTCCTGAGGCTGGCCTGGTCTCCGATAGCTCTGTGCCGCCCCTCGCGTAGACACTACGCCCCAACACGGGGGCGTGAGCCTGGAGCCCAGGCGACACGCACCGAGCCGGGTCGATGTGGACAGAGCCATCGTCCGTCAAGCGAGTCCGTCTACACTGTTGCAGCCGGCTTCCCTGCAGCACGGGCTGCAGCTCTACATGTGCTGAAACACCGATCTAAAGAGGGGAAAAAAATGAAAAATGCTCCGGCATTTAATAAGTACCTAATCCCTGATGTCCTGCACACCACTGCAAGGGCCTTATGATTCTACCGGAGAGCATGATGAAGCCTAACGTACTAGTAACAGCACGGAAGCAGGAGAAGTGATGAGTGCAGTCTTACTATGTTCTCCAGTGCACGAATAATTCGACTGTTGGCTTTCTCTATACTTTTAGAGAAAAATAAATGGCGATAAAATATATATTTTTTTAAAAAAATAGGGAATTCTATTACTTATGTTATTGTACTGCATTCGAGAAGATGAAAAAAAAGAGTCTGAACAAATGTCATAATGTGCATGTCTGCTACCATTATTTCTACATATTAGTTTCAGGTTTTACTACATCAATGTAACAGCAAATGCACCTTTTGGCCTCGGAAAGCAGACTTGAATTGAAATGAATCGGCGCACGTCCAAAAAGTTTTAAGATGTGGCTCATCCCCGTTTACCTGCACTAGAGTGTGGAGAATAGAGCTGGAACTATGTATACTTCACAATCCGACGTTTACAATTAATAAGGATTTGTCCAAAGTCTAATTTATGTCTATGTGAAGTAAGTTTCTGGAGTGTCCAAAAAAGCGATATATAAGTATAAGCAATTATTATTAAGTGATCTTTCCTGAATAAAACTGGCGTCTTTTAACTGAAATGATCCCCTTACACTTCGTTCTGTATGCACGTTACGCAAATTGTCTTGTAAATTAACCTAAAACCTTCAGGTAAAGATGAAAAAATATAGATACCAAAAATAAACAGCCCTCTTTCCATATCCTTACACTATGAAAAATATGCTACCTTGATAAACGTGCCTCCACTATACTTGCAGCTTGTTTTTCAAGTACAGTCCGTCGCGACAACTCGTCCCCCGGTAACATTTTGCAAGCACATTGAGTTCCTAAGCCTATAACTACTGTTACGAACTACTACTAGTGAATCTGAGATTACATCTATATATTGACTAATAATTGCACTCCTGAATAAGTGGTCAAATGTAACAACATGCGAAAGGCTCCAGTCATATCCAGTATCACAGTGTCACTTGTTCGTCTATAAAAACAATTTCATTTAAATTAAAAAGTAACACCGTATTATTACATATCTACTGTACTAACTAAAATACGTATTTAAAGAGGTATCAAAAATTCACATGAGTCAGTCAATCAACAAGTAATATTCTTTAACATCTGCTTTAGAAAGTATTATTTTATATCATTCCTACCTGGAAAGACCTTCTCAGTCTGTCCTACTGATCACGATCGCGTATCACACGTCACGGGTGACGTCTTACGACAGGTCCCAGCGAATGAAGCGTGAGATCGCAGGCGCCCGCATGCGCAGTGGAGCTCCAGCGCCTTTGTGTGCTGCAGAGGGGGCGCCTCTCGGCTCGTCTTTATCCCGACGCAGCGCCAGGCAGCTCCGGCCTCACAGCAATCATGGTGAACGTGAAGAAGCGGAAAGGACGGGTCGTGATTGACTCCGACTCCGAAGACAGCGCTAGTGACGATAACCTGGATCAAGTAAGAGCCTCTTTGTCCTCTGCTCTGCGCCTTTTGGGTTCGATCAGTTCTGGAGACAGAAACCCATCGCGCCACAGGCCCTCTTGCATCCTCGGATTCAGCTGGGTCTGTGCAACCGAGTCTAGTGTGCACGAAGTCGCCAAGACTTCTTGGTGTTACCCTAGCGCAGACACCTAGTTTTAAAATAAAAGACCAAAAGCCTGGGCCATCACGGCCGGAATCCGTGTGAAATGCTCTTTTATTATTGGCAGAATTAATTTCGGACGGGATGCGCACGAAATTAACGAAAACAGTAGTAAGAGGTTTGATCTGTAGAAAGCGTGAGTGTCGCAGTGTAAATATGGACACCGAAAGCCATGGATATGGAGACATTCAGCTTGCAAAAAGCTCAGGTTTGCGTGTGCTGGAATTAGTGTTTATGACGGCGCTGAAAGTAGCTTGTATAGGAAGCGGAACCAGGTCAGTAATAGGAATTTGTTGGCAGTAGAGGAATGAAGATTGTTTCGCACCTTCAAGCCGAGATTCTGAGCTCGGATTGACGGTCATGGGGTTGCTGCCGGCTTGCTTGGTCCAAAGACGGGCAGTTTTGGTTAGTTGCTCTGTTAAAAAAAAAACCCGTGCATGCGGATTTTCACTTGGGTGTTTACTGTGCTGAAAACAACCGGTCCAAATAAAGCATTTGGCGGGCTGTTGGAACAGTTAGCGGAGGCTCGGAATAACTGCTTTTCGGTGTTAGGCTGCCTTGTAGCGTGCTGGGACAGCAGCAATGCTAAGCATCAGTTTGTTGGGCGTTCTGATGTAGTGCAACATGCATTGAGGGCTTTTCATCTGCAGCCAATCAAATGATGTGATAAACCCGAGTTTCTAACATTTGATGCATTTATTACGAGCTCGGAGTGCCTTAAGACAGCAGTGCACGAACCCGGGCAAGCAGCAGCGGTAGGCGCCAGGTGTGCAGGTCACTGTACAGGAGGCAAGTTCACAGCGCTTGCCCGCTGCTGCTCCAACTTTCGCTTCGCCTGCTGCGAGCTTCTGTAGTCTTGATGTTCCGGGCGTGAGAGGATGCGGGAAGTTTTTTTTTAATTCCCCAGTGTTTTGGCATGAGAAATCAGTGGTGCTGAATTTCTTAAGGGAAGCAAGAACGCTAGTGCATAGCGATGCATGTTTTTTTGTGAAACGTAAATCGTGAAAAAGTTTACTGCCTTTTTTTTGTAATTGTTCAACCTGTACAACTGCACGCTGGTTTTCCTCTTTGCTTTTAATACTCGTTGTAAGTTAGTCATCATTGCACTGTGTTACAAGGAACACATTCTGCGCTACTTTGAATTCTGATTTATGTCGTACTGTCCTTTGCCACTTCTGAACGTTGTGAGCATCACCTTGGAAAAAAATGGGCCTATAATGGGAAAGCAGAAAGCTCGCTGAATTCAGGGGCTGTTACTTTTTTAATCGCATAAAGCTGGAAAAAGTCTGTGGGTATCTGTGGTTAAATTAACGTAATTTTCGATTGCAAGCCTCTGCCTTATATTCAGCAAACAGCAAAGACCTGGTTGGTAAATTAATCTTTAAAATGTACCCATGTCTGAACATTTCTTTCAGGCAGGCTACAGTCTGTTTTTCTTTTAAAAAACGTTTACCTTCCCAGAAGTGTTTCCTTCTATCTTCATGTATTTGGTGGTAGTTCATGTTAATGCAGATAAGACATTTGGTATTGTAGTGTACCTTGTAGATGTAACCACCTGCTCAAAATCACCAGTTCTCCTTGTATTGATACGGAATTCGTTTTTGCTTATGTCTGTGGTGCCCGGTTTTACCTTAAAAGAGCGGATTTTTTGTGTGCTTCTTTTTAGTGTAGAGTTGTGTGTGTATATATATATAAGAGGATTTGCTTTAGAATTTGTCCATAGTATTACGGTAGTACGGAGGTGAAAATAAATTCTGGAAACAGTAGTAGAAACAAGCATCTAAAATCTAAAACACCCACCCCCCCGCAGCAGGAGAGGCACTCCTTACTCATGGGCACAGCAGGGACTTCGAACCCTGGACACAAGTTCAGAGTCAGATCTCTGCTCTGCATCACATAGTAACTGAATAGAACTCAACACAATTGTTCTGGGATTTATGAATGGTGCCTCTGTAAACTTTATGGATGGTAGTTAACTATTATTATTGTTATCAACAGTGAGTGGGAGTTCATCTTTAACTTACCACAAGATTGTCAGGAACTCAGGCAGGGTGGCGATGGCCCCGTTCTTTACAGCTGACCCCTGTGGGGATACCAGTTTGCTCTGACAGGGACTTCCTGCCAGATATATTTCCATCTGGCTTAGCATGCATCACAGAGCCACAAGCAGCAGAGGGACATCTTGGGCAGAAGAGTCTAGCAGGTAAGCCTTTGGCCTCATAACTGTCAGGCTGTGGGTTCGAGTCCCTATTGCAGACACTGCTGTTGTAGCTTGAGTGAGGTACTATACCCAAGTTGCCCTAGTCCACACAGCTGTATCTGTGGGGGGGGGGGATCTACATTGCTGAGGGTGGTGAACTGCTGTCCTGATGCAGAACCCAGGATGGGCTGTGGCCCGACGAGCTGGTGGCTCTGGAATGGACTGAAATCATGCCAAACACAAGAAGAATGCTCTGTTGATTCAACAGCTCGTATGTAGTTTAACATACAATGCTGTAAAAAATTGCTTTGGCTCGTATCTCACGTAAGGAATGGGCTAGCACCACTGTTAAGCTAGTGGAAGAACTGGAAAGTTTAGTGTGAGCAGTCATGACATGTTCAGAAAGTACGTAAAGCAGAGTTCAGTCAAGCTGTGTCATTACACTGTATTTCCAAACAATAGGTTTGTGGAAGTAAAAATGAACCCTGGTCAGGATGCCACACACAACCACACACTCACAGCAGCTAATTAACCTATCAGTATGTGTTGGGACAGTGGAAACGAGGGGAAACGTGAACATAAGGAAAGCTCCACACAGATAGCACCCAGGTCTGGAATTCAACCAAGGGCCTCAGCACTGTGAGGCAACAGTGCTCAGCACTGTGACACCTGAGGCACAAACCACAACAGTGAAATAGTTATTCTATATATTGTGTTGAATTTAAATTGTGATTTTTGTGAAAAATTGTAAAATGCACCAGTATGGCCTAATTTGGTGTCAATTTTTGGTCACCACATGATAAAAAAAAAGGAGCTTTGTAATAGGTCCCGAAAAGTGCAACGTTTTGGTCTGGAGGGTGAAGGAACTGAGCGATTGAATGGTAAAGATGTCAGGGAGACTAGATTTTAGTATCAAAATCATCAAGAGCATCATCAGCTCAGCAGACGTCTTCGATGGATTTCTTTGCAATATATGACAAAAATGATCCAGAAGACAAAAGTAGAAACTATGTGGAAGTGCATTTAAAATCGCGAGCAGGAGAACCCTTCTTTACACAAAAAGTTGTAGGGGTCTGGAACGAGTGCCCATCCGTGTTCTTGAAGCCGATACTCTGGCTCTGAGATGAGATCCTGGGATTGATTAGCTCTTGGCAACCAGAAAAGCTAGATGGGGCAAATGGCCTGTTTTCTTTTGCATCTGGTGTCTTCAGACTGTGTGTTCAGACACCTGAAAAAGTGAATATGGGTTTTGAATATTTTAAAGATGTCCCCCGACATGTTATTAAGTAGTCTTAACATTGGCGTTGAATAAGGCAAGTGGAGAACATAAGGATATAGTACATTTTATGGATGAGAGGATGAAGCTGACCTGACTGTCAGCACAGCGATACTGAGAGTATCGTGTAGTATCCTATACCTAAAGTGGTGCAGTATAGGGTAGTAATGTCAAAACAGTTTCAAAAATACTTCTGTAGTTGGCAGTGAAAGGTCTGTGACAGGGAGTTCACGAACCCCTAACAACACTAGAGCAGGGCCACGCCTCTTCTGTCCCCTTCCAGTCTGCCCCGTCACACAGTTTTGCTGCGACCTGCAACTTGTAATTATTGAAGTGGTAATTAGCGAGATCAATAGAGCAGGTCAGAAGCTGGTCGCAAGCAAAGTACTGCAGTGGAGCTGACTGGAAGGGCTGCAGATTGAGTAGCTCTGTTCTAGACTTTGTTAAATTTATTAGATTACAGACTGGCTGAGTGATGGGGGTGTACAGCAGTTTGTCTCGGCACAGGATTGTTAGTTAAATTCGTACCTCTTATTTCATTCAGCCAGCAGTGAGGCGTAGTGCATTTGTATTGACCGCTCCCGAGCTGTGGGAGCATTAAGGACCCACTAGCTGAGCGAGAGGCAGCTGTGACGCAGGAGAGCCTCTAGCAGTGTGCTGGCAGCGAACAGCTGGGCAGTGCTGTGTGTCACAGGAACCGGGCACAGTGGGGCACGGGCACAGAGAGTGTGTGGCTGAAGCAGGCCGGGGCAACTGAGCGTGTTGCTGGCGGATCCAGGTTCAAAACCCGAACCAAGCGAAGGTTCGGAACTGAGGAGACACTGTAGCGAAGCACAAGGGCGAATCCGGGGGTCGTGATAGAGTATCGCGAAGGATGGCGAGGGTGTGATCTGGAAAAGCAGTCGGGAGACAAAGCAGAACACGGGAATAAAGACCGAGGCGGTGCTCAGGGGCTGCGTTTGTGAACTCGGTGACAGAGCCCCGGGCACTGTCAGGTCCGGGTATGTATTCTGAGGAGCACCCGGTACAGCTGTGGTCATAAACGGATTCGAGGTGCTCTGAGTCTCCGAGTGAGTCGTTTTCTGCAGCGGCCAAAGAAGGGAAACGGGTTGCTACTGCCGCTGATCGCTAGATTGCTCGGTGTTTGACCAGCGGGGCCAAGCGTGACAGTCCCATCGGTTGCTGAGGCAAAAAAGAATGCAGCGGTATTTGGAGATTTACATGATATAAACGTATGAAAAAAAAACAGAAAAATTCTCTCCATCCCCCTGCCCTCACAGAAAGCTTGGTTTCTTAGAACTATTTTCATTCGGTGAAGAATGTTGAAGCCTGGTTTGTTTTGTTCATTGTTGTTCATGAATGGGATTGGCTGGCTCTGGATATGTGGTTTTAATTTAAATGTGATTTAGTGATTTAAAGAAAAAAAGCAATAGGCAATTTAGTCTTGGAAATGTCTACACCCTTCCATCTTTTCTCGCAATGTCACGGTTGTGGCTTTCAGTGAAAACACAATCTTGTGTGAACGATGTGCTGAAGAGTAACCTGTCATGGTGATAGAGGGAAATTATTCCTGTTCGAAACACTGGAGATTTGTGCATCTGGAAGTGTTGGCCCCGATGACTTAAAAAAAAAAATCAATATCTGTCTGCGCCAACGGACATCTGCACTTCGAGTACATTCACTACGCGGAGCCTTATGGGTCTCGTGCATTATAAAAGAGCTCCTGCTCGGAGCACGTGGGAGAGTAAAGGCTTGCTTTGTCAAGGCTGACGGCGATCGCAGCAGTATGCCGATGACCTTGATTAATGAAGTGTGAGACTAAATCGAGCCTGACGTGCACTAAGCTCACTGACAGAAGGCAATGACATGTCAGGCACGGCTTAATGTATGTAGCTAGCCTGCTTAATAAAGGTATACATGTATAGATCTTCTAAGTGTAGCTATAGAGGTATGTATGAAAGAAAAGCACTGGAATATGTGGACTGTGGTAGGTACAAATACATAAACGTGGCCTCAATGTTGGAAAAACTGATAAATTGAGATGAACCTTAAAATACTATTATTTATTGTGATGTGCCATTCGTGGGAGGTGAAGAATTCTTTTGCGACGTAACCTCAAATCGGTAATAAAACTGCAGCCTTACATTGCTGCCTGATGCAATGTTTTTTTTACCCATTATATCGGAAATCTCCAGCTGACATTACATCTAGGCTCATGATAAAAACCCCAGAGGCTGTAAGAATAAAAAAAAAAGTGCAAATAGGCCAACCCAGTGAACACTTCTCTTGTGACACTCTACAAGCTCTGCAGCATGCGGGAGGAGAGCTGTGTCACTTGTAGCTGTCTCTGTTAATCTGTTTTGTTTGGATCAGAGAGAGCTCTGTCCAACTGATTCCACTGAAATATTATATATCACCACTTGGGGAATCCTAGTTGCTGTCTGCTATTCACTTGACCTCAGGCTCAAGATCTCCAGAGCTAGATCCCTAATTGCTCTTAGAATGAGCAGTTTCACTGGTTCAGCATCCGGGAAGTCCCCTGATTCATAGTTCTCTTTTCTTGTGTGTACTTTTGTCTCGATTCAGGATGAGTAATGAGTAGTAATTTTTGTGATTGAAAATAAGAAATGGCTGCAACCAATATACTATATGACCTCCTCTTGTCTTGGTTAAAGGTTGCTGTTACACTGGTCCAAGGACTGTTTTCCCAGAGAGAATTCCAGGGAATTATCTTGTACAACATGGCTGGGTAGCATGTGCTACAGACACCTACTGCCCTTTGTGTATGGAACTGCTTCCTGATTCTAGTCCTCAGTGTCCTTCCTCTCGACCGAACAGAAGGCGTGGAGAGCTGCTCTCTCTGTTGCCTCTTGGGTAAACCGTGTCTGTGTCACAGGAGCTGCTGTCGCTGGCGAAGAGGAAGAGAGTCGACTCGGGCGATCAGGAGGACCCCCCCAGCAAGCCAGCTGCCTCGACGGACTCGGAGACGTCGGACAGCGATGACGAGGTACTGCAGCGGGAATACCTATACCTATAGTGTGAATATACCTGAATGTGAACAGCAGATCTAAACACGGGCTCGGTCTCGTTGTTGTCTTGCCACCTGCACTTAAAATAATGGCCGAAGGAGAAGAGGGCTTCATATCGACAGGCAGTCACATGGAGCTTCACGTACAATACAGGAAGTTCTATAAAGTTTGGCTTAAGGAGTCTGGGAGTAGCTCGCACTAACGTTTGGTTTATTAGAACCCAGCTTTGCGGTATTGCAAAAATCCAAGGACAATTTCTTGGACAAGTGGTCACAAATACTGTGCAACATACCTTGTGGCTCAATCCATAGTCGCTGATATTAATGGTAAGTAGCCGGTTGTCCACAGTTGCATTGGGAGAGGCAGTTATTTCATGTTTTAAAACTGTGTCGGTGTCTAATATAGGTTTTCAGTATAAATGTGAAACATCTCCTTGGTCATTCGTCTGTTGAAAGATGTGCTCTTGATGCCTGTCTGGCATTCTAACGCGGACCTGTGGTCCTTTTTCAGTGGACCGTGGGCGGCACCAAGAGCAAGAAGAAAGCGAAGTCGGGGAAAGGGGGCGAGAAGAAGGGAGCGGCGAAGAAACGGGCCAACAAGGCCGCGTCTTCAGGCAGCTCGGATGGGGACAGCTCCGCGGAGAGCTCTGCCCCTGAGGAAGGTGGGAGGGGCGACGGGGGGAGGGGGGCCTTCCGATACTGGGGCAGACAGCACTCCTTGTTTTCCCCGTGGGATTAAGAGTCGGATGCATGAGGCTTGAAGGTGTCTTCCAGGGCTGCTTACCATGATTGAGCAGTGCGGCGCCATTTCTCGTCCTGAAGGAACTAGAATTAAGGGAAGCTTTTGGTTCGAAAGAAGACCCGATAGGTTTCAGAAATGTATTGTGGTTTTGTATTACAGTGATTCTTTAGATTGGCCATTTGAATGAATTGGAAATGCCCAGGTGATGGTTTTGTTCCGTACACCTGAAGTCTGCTTCCCTGGTGGAAATAGGACCCCCTCGAGGACACAGGAGTCCGTTGCTGTAGTCCTCCTGGGGTGTATAGTTTTGTGTGTGGGGGGGGGGAGGTTGTGCGTCTTGGCTGACACAACTTGCGCATGCACGGCAGGCGAGGTGTCGGACTCGGAGAGCAACAGCTCCTCATCCAGCTCGGACTCGGACTCCTCCTCCGAGGACGAGGTGTTCCGCGACGGCTACGGCGACGACCTGATGGGGGATGAGGAGGACCGGGCCCGGCTGGAGCAGATGACGGAAAAGGAGAGGGAGCAGGAGCTCTTCAACCGTATCGAGAAGCGAGAGGTGCTCAAGAGGAGGTGAGCACTGTGACGGGCGATTCCAGGAAGAGGAGGAGCACAGAGCAAGGCGGCTCATTGGGCCAGATCTCAGCCTGTTTGCTTTAGTGAGAGTACGTAACTTTCCCTCAAATGGGAACAGGGATTACCCAGCAGCAGTGCTCACCTACTTACAGCTGGCTGGACCGGAGCAGCTGGGGTTAAATACCTTAAACAAGGATCTGGCAGCAGTGTCTCAGTGTCTCAGTGTCTAATATTCTGTCACATTAGTCCAGAGGCCTCCCCACTACTCTATGCTGTCCCTGGCTGTTATGCAGCTATTATATGTCATAAAGCCAACATCCAGTAGGTAATCTTAAAAACTAACTGTGCACCAAAAAGTGTACGGGTGTCTGATACATTGATAGCTTGAAGGCTAAAGCTAGGCAGATCCAGACTGAGCTACAGTTTAACTTGCCCTTTCCTTACTCTCATTGTCTGTTCTGTCAGGTTTGAAATTAAGAAGAAGCTGAAAACAGCCAAAAAGAAGGAGAAGGAGGAGAAGAAGAAAAAGCAGGAGGAGGAGCAGGAAAAGAAGAAGCAGTCTCAGATCCAGGACACACAGGTGGTGAGTGTGGAGTCGCTGACAGGGCCTCCTTTCATCTTGTAATACGGTGCTGACCTTAACTGGATCATTTGTACTATGGGACATGTTACTTATTTTTGCTTCTAGATTACAGATAACGCATTTGATGTCTTTGGTACATTTTTACGGCACTTTTAATTATGTAAAATACTTGTTGCCAGTTTTTTTACTTAGCCCCGGCAGATGTATCATTAACGGCCTTTGACATTGACCTTGGCTGAGGTGGTGTTAATCAAATTATTAGAATTTCTTGGATACAGAATGTCTGCATCCATAAAGCCCAAGCTGTGGCTGGATCAGTTCGAAGGTCTTACTTGGATTAATCCTTGTGCTTGTCTGGAGGTCTCCAGCCATGGTCTCGGAGAGCCCCAGGGCAGCAGGTTTTGTGGGCACCTGTGAAATCAGCAATTTCTAAGGACCTGGATTTAAAAATCAATGAGCAGAACATGAGGTTACAGATGATGGGATGCAATTTGGCCCATCTAACCTCTTTGCTGGTTGGTAGTTAACAGATCCAAGCATTTCATCCAGAGTCCATCTTCAGCAACATAATGTATCAAGTAAATGTGTTCAGTTCAGTAGTTTACAGATAATTTGGATCATGCAGCAAATGAAAGAACTTGGAATATCCATCAGCCTTCCAGGTTATGAGTTGCCACCATTGGGAACAAATAACTTAAACTGATCTATAACGTAAAGAAGTGTTCCTAATGAGGTGATCTACTCTGACCTATAATTGGACTGGAGCTCTCCTGGACCAGCGTTGAAGATCCTCTGTCTTAAAGTCTTATACGGTCTTCTGCTTGGCCTAGATGGGCTTTGCGGTACTTTCCAGATGTTCTGTTTCAAGTGCCTTTGTGAACCTCTTCATACTGTAGGTCATGTCCCACAATAAGGAACGAAGATCCAAGCGTGATGAGAAATTAGATAAGAAATCACAAGCCATGGAGGAACTCAAAGCGGAGAGGGAGAAAAAGAAGAACAGAACAGGTACTAATTCTGACTTTTAACAAAAACATGACTATTGCTTTGCTTTCCCTGTTTCCAAAGAATTCTACATGCTTATGATTAAATCTTTCAGGGGATTATCAGTTAATGCTTCAAACAATTGAACTTTGTGCATTTGTAATTTTTAAGTAGGCATAGAGTGTATTTCACGTCTTTAAGGTGTAGTGTTTTCCAGTTTATTTTTTTATTGCTATTGTGCCTGTTGCTAATATTTATGCACACGGAGTCAAAGGTGCAGGTATGGGATTGCATTGCACTCTTGCTAGTGTGAACGTGATGGGATGGTGGTGGGTGACTTGCCTGCATGATTCTGACCTCTTGCTGTTTCTCTGGCCAGCTGAGCTCTTAGCCAAAAGGCAGCCTCTCAAGACCAGTGAGGTCTACTCCGACGACGAGGAGGAGGAAGAGGAAGATGACAAGTCCTCGGTGAAGACGGACCGTTCCTCTCGTTCATCCTCCTTTGATGAGGAAGAAGAGTATGTGTTTGTAATGAGAGTCCCATGCCAGTTCAAAAACTAGCAACATAACATCTAGCCAGAGCAGAGCTCTCAGTACTACAGAATACAGTACTATGCAGTATGCACTGATAAGTAACAAATTAGGTAAAAAGGTGTTGATTTTTTTTGTTTAAAGCAATAAGTTAATCCTTTGTGCAGTATTTGGCATTCATACATTCACAGCATAATAGTTTCATAACCACAGCACGAAAATTCTTCTTTTCTTACATGGAGCAGACATCTTGCATTCAGACTGTGTAGGTTGACTTTTTCATTGTTAATTTTGGTTTGCTCATTTTTAAGTTTATCTGAACATCTTTTCGTACTGTACATATTTTCCTAAGCAGATTGTAACACTGGACTCCAGGAAATGTTCTTGGTGGGAGGAAGAGAACAGATTTACTCTGAATGTTCAGTGCAATATTTGTGGAGTGGTTGACCTCTTAATGGTTTAAATGAGAACGGAGACTCCTAGGTTAAGTTTTTTTTTTTCCATGTTTGCTCTAGGAAGGAAGAGACCCCTCCGAAGTCTCAGCCAGTGTCGCTGCCGGATGAGCTGAACCGGATTCGGTTATCCCGGCACAAACTGGAGCGCTGGTGCCACATGCCTTTCTTCTCCAAGACGGTGACGGGCTGCTTCGTGCGGATAGGAATAGGAAACAGCAGCAGCAAGCCCGTCTACAGGGTAGGGGGCCTTGGCATCCATCTCTCACAAACGGAATTATGGGTGAAGAACACTGAAGCATGATGGGCTGTTTGTGGTGGGGGTCCTGCTGCCAGCTTTTCATATTGTGAGCGAGTATGTGTGCTTAGGAATCGGTTATCTTAGCCTGTTAATACTACACATGTCGATACAGGGACATCTGTACCGGGCACGGTGATTTGCAGTTCTAAAAACAGAAATTGCACCGAGCACTACTGGTTTGGGATTGTGCGCCTATATGTAAAGAACTAAAAGAGTCTGGCTCATTATGGCATTACTCCACCTAATAAAGCAGTTCTCTGCATCACGGGACGTAACAAATTAAAAATAAGTTCAACCCACTGTTCACAAGCAAGTAGTAATTACACTTCTACATGAATGCATTTTAAAAATCACCTTTTTGAATTGACAGATCTGTCTGTTCTGATTTTCTAGGTTGCAGAGATTGTCGATGTTGTGGAAACGGCTAAAGTCTACCAGCTGGGGTCGACGAGAACAAATAAAGGTTTACAGTTACGGTACGTAGCACCTGTTTCACTTAAGGTATTGGGTTTGGAGAATAGGCAGCCGTGTGGGGTCCTGACAAGGTCTCTTTAGACTTGAAGGTTGTGGGTTCGGATCCCAGGTGGGGCACTGCTATTGTGCTCTTGCACAAGGCACATTTACAGACAGCTCCAGGAAAATATCTAGATGTATAAACGGGTACAAATGTGGAGCTGGTCTGGCAAAAATGTCAGCCAGTTTTAGAGTAAATAACGTGACAATAACCCTTTTGTGTATTCTATGTAGTTATTCCACTTGAAAGGAAATATAGAAATAAATTTTTGGTCAAATAATGCTAGATTTAAGGAAAAATTCACATCTGAAATTAGCAGTACTTGGATAACGCTCTTCCCTGATGGGCCTTTCTGTGAGTTTAAAGTGCAACCAGAAAGTAATTTCATTATTCTTTGTAAAGCTGTGTGTGTTTTCTGTGGTTTGTCTGTACCGTAGCCCTAATCCCAGGCAGTATGTCAGTCTGAGCTCCGCTGGTATTGGAGTTTGTTGTTTCGGTGTTGGGAGGTCCTGTGCTGCTCCTTCTGACATGACACCATGACACGGGGAAGGACTTGTCTGTTTTGCAGGCATGGCGGTGACACACGCGTGTTCCGACTGGAGTTCGTCTCAAACCAGGAGTTCACCGAGAACGAGTTTATGAAGTGGAAAGAGGCGGTGAGTGTTGAGATTCCAGGCCCAGAAGCCCAGCTATTTCTGGTCCAGTTTTTTTTCCTCCAGTTCTGTGGAAGGTGAAAACTGCCGCCACCTCATGTGTCCCATCCTCCCGATTCACAGATGATCATCGCTGGAATGCAGGTTCCTACGTTGGACGAGATCGCCAAGAAGGAGCAAGCCATTAAAGAAGCGCTCAACTACAAATTCAACGACAAAGACATAGAGGATGTACGTAAATCTGTTTTTGATGTAAAAAATGTGCTGTGTTTTTACCTGTTCAGTAAAATCTTGCACTTGTTTACGTTCTCATTTGGGAAACTGACACTTGTTAGGTGGTCTTGACAAGATGCTGGCAGTATTGACTGTGGAAGGCACTATGGATGATGGACAGTGCTAAACCCTGTGTTCTTTGGAGAAAAGACGTCTCCCCACACTGGGGTGAGGGTTATGGAGGCGGAAGGGAGTTCAATACCAGTTACAGATCCCTAATTTGAAGATGAAATTGAAAAAATGTATGGTGAATTAACTTGGTAACTTGTTTAGGCTCACAGCTGATTTAAGTACTGCACATCTAGATATTAAGGGGGCCTGTTCACAGACATATTTTCCCAGAAATGAAATTGCTGTCCTTTGTTTCATTCATAGATCGTTAAAGAGAAAGACAGGTTTCGAAAGGCACCTCCTAATTATGCCATGAAGAAAACTCAACTCCTGAAAGAGAAGGTAAGAGCTCTGAGTAGACGTTTCCTCGGGGAGTACAGTTCAAAAATGCTTCTAGGCTGTTTGTATTAAAGTGTCGTGTGCTGTTTCAAGTTAAGTTCTGATAACAGCCATCAAAGAGTTCTTCAGTAGAGCCAAAATGTGAATTAAACACAGAGAATGCACTAATACTTGCATTGTGATGCATGAGCCGCTCCTCTTCTTGATCACTTCTAATTTTTACACCTTTTTGCACCACACTCTGAACAGCATCATCACTTTTTTTCTTTGGTATTGCGATGTGACCTAAACTTGAAACCTTGGGATTGAGAAGGGGTGAAAGCTGGATCTACTGAAATGGGAATCTGGGTCTGGGAGAAGTACATGATTAACACAAAAAAAATTAGGAGTGTGAGTGTGTAGACCGCCAGCTGTTGAGGATAAGAAGAGAAGCAGGCGGTTTACTTGGACCCAGCTGTGTGTGGGGTGTGACAGATGTGTGGTGTGTCTCCAGGCCATGGCTGAAGAAGCTGGAGATGGAGAAAAAGTCAAACAGATCCAGGATCAGCTGAACGAGCTGGAGGAGAGAGCGGAGGCTCTGGACAGACAGAGAACCAAAAACATCTCGGCCATCAGGTAGGAGTGGCAAACACGTTTACCTCTCCATACCAGTCTTGTACTGGCTTAAAGGGGTTGTTCTGAAAGTTTTTTTTTTAAGCTAAGGGGGGGGTACTTTCCTGCCCCCTTCTAAGTTAGAAGCAAGGAAGAATGTGTTTTTAAGTGGGTGCCCTAGTAAGCCCATGAAACTGTCTTAAAGGAGGGGTTTTGTACAGCTTCAGGGCTGGTCACTTATAAGCCCGGCTTCTTAGTGGAGGTGCTGTGTATGTTAGCCCCACCTGATCGCCAGTCTTCTGTTTTGTTTCACAGTTACATTAACCAGAGGAACAGAAGCTGGAACATTGTGGAGTCTGAGAAGGCCCTTGTGGTGAGTGTCTTTGTTAGCAGAGACAGGCTTGTTTCAGCAATATTTTGAATCTGTTGAAAACTACATGTTTTTTGAGTAGTTGTGTAACGGACATGATTCTTTCAGCCTGTTGAGTAGGCTATTTTGAAGTGTTCCCATCTTAATCATGTTAAGTGATTTTTTTTTTAACTCATAGATGTTCGTGGGCATCTCCTGCATTGTGTAGGGCACTAGTAGCAGTTCTACAGTTTTAGTAATAGCAGTGATCTGGCAGATGGGCTGGCAGGATGACTGTTTAAGTACATCTCAGTCATTTTGTTCCATTGTCAGAGTAGTAAAAAAAGTATTTGTCTTGGTAAATACAGGTTCTGTGCATTGAGTCACATTTTTTGACTATCTGTTTAGCATTCAGATCATGGATGATATCCAGAAAAGAAAGGGGGCATGATTTCTATTTGTGTGAAACAGAATTAAAGTTGGAAAAATATTATAACTTTTTGTTGCACATCCCTCCAGTTTCTGCTGCACAACCACGTATTTAAAAGTACATTGAGTCCTTCACACTAATAGTGCTAAAATAAGGGTAAAACGTGACGGCATATTCTCATTTACAGTGGTGCCTCAGAATAACCGCGACATTAAAGTTTCTGTATGTATTGTTTTTGCTGTAAGCTATAGAAATGTTTTATTTGCACACAGAGATCTGACTTGTCTGAAGTGTTGATTTCTTGTGTGTGTTTCAGGCTGAGGGTCAGAACTCGAAGAACCAGCAGATGGATCCCTTCACAAGGCGACAGTGCAAGCCCACCATGGTGTCCAACGTAGGTCTTTGGTTTGCAACTTGTGCTTTTTGTTACTTTTAACTTTTTACATCGGCCCCATTCTGATTCGGTGACTGCTTGTGGCCCTGATGCCTGAGAATGCTTTCCTCTAAAATATCCTGCCAGACTGTCGGCCACTTTGTGCTCTGTAAGTCACCACCCGCAAGCTGAATTCACCCTGGGCTACTTGAGTCACTCTCTCCTCGTTGGCACACTGATTGTAATTAATTGGAACCAATTGCCATTTGAGAACTAGTCTCAGTCCACTAATGACACCACCCAAAGCTAAGGGCTTATGCTCCAGACCAGTGCTTTACTTTCCATCACATGACTACTGTTACTACATCCACTGCATAAACTTAAAATCAAGAAAAGGATTTTTAAAGATTGAGGAAAATTAAAAGAAGCATAGAAAAATTGAGACCTATTAAGATGTTAACTAAAGAATAATGCTTGAGCAGGTAGAATGTATGGTTCGGATTTAAATAAGATATTTTTGTTCAGTTTTCACTGACGTCTTGGTTGTTTTCTAGACGGGACTGTAGATGCTGGCCTATACACTGGAAGGGAAAAAAAAATAATTTCTGTGGTTTTCTTTCCCAATAGGCTCGTGACCCTTCTGTTCACGCTGCTATCCTCGCTCATCTCAACCAGAAATATGGCTCGGGGTCGACGCCAGACAACGTTCCAGAGAAAAGCAAACCGGTGAGATATTGGCTGTCCCTGGAGCGTGCTGCAATTCATATCCTCAAGATGGAACTATAATCTGGAGCTTTAACCTTTCAAGTGGTGTAGTTGTACTATGAGAGATTGCAGATTTACATTTGATTTACTTCAAATATAAAATATTATGAATTAAGTGGCAGTTTGGTTAGTGGTACAAGCAAATGAGGTTTATAATGAGGTCAGAATTCAGTTTGGGTACACTTTGGTTAGCAAAGACTTGCATGTAAGGTTATGATTTGGGGTGTGTTGCACACTGAAGCAGTTTTTTTTCCCTCCTGGTTTAGGATGGATTTCTCACTTTGTCTCTCTTGCTTAGGGGTAAGAATAGTTTGTTAGTTGCGGTTTACTCTCCAGTTCAGTTTCTCTAAAGCACAAAAAACTACTTCCTGCATTTTAAAATGAACCATTATTAATAGTAACAATCGGATTGAAACCGTATTAAAGTAAGGATATTTGAAATTGTATCAAATGCTGCTCTGGTGCTGCTCATTGCTACACAGCAAAGTTGAACTGCCTCTTCCGTTGCGTAGCTCAATAATTCTGGATGGTGGTAATGTCGCAGGGCACAGACACTGCCCCTCTAAATCAGTAGGCCTTGCTGAGGAATTAGAAACAACTGAGGGTGGGTTTCATAGTAAAAAGTTTTTTCCTTACTCTGAATATTTTGCTTTCAGGGACAAGGAGGAAAGGATAAAGATGTGGCCAAAACCACAAGCGATCTGTCCGAGGATCTTTTTAAAGTTCATGATTTCGACGTGAAGATTGACCTTCAGGTGCCCAATGCAGGTGGGAGGCGTTCTTTATTCTTGGTTCCTCTTTCTTTCCGACATGCACCTTGTCCCCAGGAACCCCACCCCTGTATGAGAGCAAGTCTTCTGGCTGGGCCAATTTGTATATTTAGAAATATATAGGAAGTGTTTTGGACACAATGTATTCGAATCTAAATTATCCACTGTTGCTAAAATATACCGTAAATTGAGTTTGTACCCCACTGTCTGAAAATGATTTATCCCAGCACCATTCAGCAAAAAGCGAAGTTCTGCTCCTGGATGGTTGCATTGGCTAATGAATGCGCTCCTGGGTATAAAACAGGTTGATTAATTTCTCCCGATTGGGAGAAAGTAATGCTTTTGGAAATCAAAACTGGTTTTCCTCCGTGCTCCCCACTCAGTGCAAGCTTGTGAGCTGCTAATGATAGAGTACAGGCTGATCTGAACAGAATTTCACACGACAATTGACGTTTCCCGCCCTCCGCAGAAGCCAAGTCGTTATCCGTGAGCTCCAACGCCCTCCCCGTGAAAGACGGCGCCCCCCGGCGGTCACTCAACCTGGAGGACTACAAGAAGAGGAGGGGGCTCATCTGAGCTTTGCCCCAGCCCAGCTCTCCTTGCATGTGTCCGTGTTTCTGCTGGAACTGCAGGTGCTCAGCATGGGCCCCTCCACGTCCGCGCGCGTGTGCGTCCAACTGAGAGAACACAGACTTCACCTTCACTGTAAAGAGTTCACTTGTGCTTTTTTTTTTCCTTTTAAGGTCGTCTGTTCTTTATTTGCATATTACGTGAATTGTACGTGGGATTCCTTTTTATTTTTTTAAAACTCCCTTCCTTACCCATGAACTGTATTCTGTGATTTGAGGAGGACATAATACCAGAGGACAATAGAGAATTATCTGTATATTACTTAAGGATACAAATAGACCTTTATCTGGAAGAAAAAGATGGCTTCGTTTCAGCTGGGAATACCGAAAGAGGGCAGTGATTTTTCTTTTTCCACTCCGGATTCTTGCTTTCTGCAGCATCTCAACATGTGAAGAAACAAGTGCTGCATTATCGATCTATTCCAGTGGCGACCCAGACAGGCCTCTGGAGTACACCAGAGGCTCTGTCCCTTTGGGATTCAAACAAGGGAAACACAACTACAACACTTTTTGTATAAGAAAACCAAACGAGAACAGTTCATATGGAGAATGTAAAAATCGACCTCTTTTCCCCCCCAACTTGACGTCGGCAGTCTTGTACGTTTACCAGAGGACAGGTGTGAGTATTGGAAAACATGTTCTTGAGTAAATCCCGTATTGACGTGGCATGCCATGTAAATATTCAGTTCTAATGGGTGCTGCACAATAAAGAGGGACACTTTTCATATTTCTTGTGGGTGTGTTGAATTTTCCGTCAATTTTCACTTGTTTTGGTTAACAGTGGATAGGTGCTATGCTGCAGTAATTACTAAGAAAATGGGCTCATCCCTTAGTAGCCAAGTGATTATTTTTAAGTGTGCAGTTTCCAGGTAACAAACCAGTATGCTGTAAACTTGAAAACAAGTTACTATGGGCAGCTGTTCAACTTGAAATTACATTTTGTGTCCAAAATGTTTTTGAACCAAGGACATTATCCATACTGTGATGATCAGTAATGAATCAAATACAAGTGCTGCAGCTGTACCAAAACCTATTTTAGCCTTTGAAATTTTAGACCAGGTTTCCAAGTGAAGGCTCAGCCTGATTTTAATGCTTAATGTTGATTGGTGTAAACAAGCTTGTGACTGAATATTTTTTCCATACAAGTAATCCATATATATACATGGGTAAAACATCCTTTATAAAGTGTTACAAAAAATGTTTAAAAATACAATATACATCTTACATAGTTTATGTAGTTATCTGTATTGATGCTGCTTGTGAAAATAAAAAGATTACAAACTGTAACTTGATCAAAACTACTTCTTGGATTGCCTTTCCATAGAGGCATCTAGTTGTCTGATTTTCACTTATGCAATGTTAATTACTGTGTAGATAATATAAAATGAAAAGCAGCACTAGATCAGAACAAAGTAACAACTTTTTTACGTGTCATACTATTGCTTAAAAATATCAAGAGCAACATGAAATTACACTTTTTGATGCAAATGATTAATCCAAGAGCTTTTTGTAATGCAGAAAGCACTTTCAGTTTGAGGAGGACCGATTTGCTACAGAAGTGTATTTAATGATCAGTTAGGCTCTTTTGATTGGCTACAACTCTGCTTGCTGTGTAAATACAGTGCTTCTTGTGAGGATTCTGTTTGATACATATCCTTTTAAAATATTCATGTAGTGTCTAAAATCTTTACTGGAACTTGAAATGAGGAATCTATATGGTTGGGGTAGCTCTAAAACATGTAATCTCGCCAATCTGTCTAGCATGTAAAATAAATGAATCCCTAATCAAGAACAAGTTAAAATAGATTTTCTGTGTGATAGCCCACACAGGTTCTGTAGAGGAAATCCTTGCTCAACTCTGCTTTTCTTTTTTCTTTTCTAAGTTTTAGCAAATGTAGGATTCAGTTACGTTCTAGATCTGGTTTTACATTCCACATTTATTAAAAGTTCTTTAGAAACACTGGTTTGCTTAATCATTGCCTTTTGACAAACCTACAGCTGTATGGCGAAATGTTTTCAAAACCAGGGACTGTCTGCTTACATCCCATCAACACACCACAGAGAGCTCCTGACAGAAACCCCGTGAATGATCGACTTTAATGACTTAAAGCTTAAAATGTATGATTGTCTCACTTAAAATATCTTTTTGATATAATGTATAGTTCCCAATTAAAATTCTCTTTTATACTTTTGCCGACTGTGTCACCCTAAGTGGTGAAAGTGAGAAATATTTCTCTATCCGATAATTGTGGGGATGCAAGAGAAAGTGCCATGTTGCTGAAGACGATTCCCTGGGATCCTGGGCTCGATAAACCTTTATGTTGCAGGAAACACCTTCTTTAGCAGGATGATACAGAAATTAAGTCTGTGCAAGACAGGAGAAAAAGTTGTAGTAGCTGTGGCTTCTTGAATTGCAGTAAAAGCTTAGATGTTGTACACGGGATGAACTGAAATGGTAGTTCTTATTCTATCTGCAGCAGCCAGTCTTGCACAACAGGCAGCCTCAGTCCCTCCACAGTTAAAAGAGAAGTCGTTTTCTCGTAAGCAAACGCCACACTGTCTTCACTGCCACCTGCGAACAAGAACGTACATCGAAGCAGTTAATAATCACACAAATGGAGCAACAACTGAAAGTTCTGTGAAAGTCTGTACGTCATCAATATGTCTGCATGGACTGTAACTATATTTAGAGGGAAAAATGATTTTTTTAATAAAAGCTAATACTTTATCTCTCAGGTTAGAATTGCTTTAATATAGGGCCTGTAAGGCTTGTATAATTCTGAACGAGTTCTGTCCAAATGGAGCAGTAGTGACGTGCAGTCTTTCCAGCAATGACATCTGGAAAGGGGCTCTGAGGTCCTGGAAGCACACCTGAGTTGCATTAAAAAGTCACCCACTTTCATGAATGCCTTAAGAATGAGCTTCAGAAAGTCCGAGTGACTTCTATTAATGAAACGGGGAAATGGGCAAAAGGGTCAGGCTTCGGTCCCGAGTCTGCTCAGTCGCGGTAGAGAGACTTACCAGAGACCCGAGCCGTCACTGCAGTTGGTCTCTTCCTAATGCCCATGAGTCGCACACTTTCCACTGTGCTCTCGGGGTCGAACGTCCCCGTGTCGTCAGCACAGCTGTTAAATGCCGGAGAGCAGCGAGTGCAAGATCACAGCCCATTAGAGAGAGAGAGAGAGAAGGGTTGAGGAACGTTACTACAAGACTTGCTGAAATGCTGCCTGTTGTAGCTGCCTGTGTGGGAGCCCTGATGAACTGGCTTTATGAGATTTAAGCCTCTAGCCACCAAATGGGTAAAGTGCCCCCTTCTCATATGCAAGTTCTTACTTTCTTAATATGTGCCGTGATATACTGTATCATACGGATATACTTGATGGGTTCGGCCCTTATTACACTGCACAGCACTTCCATTAATCCGTTGGGTTTGGTAGCACACATCATATATCTGTCTGGAGACCCATTGAGCTATTTAGCAAACAAGCCCGGAGACACCTGATCCTTCTGGTTTACGTTTGTGATCCATAGTGCTTCCCTATTGCCTCCTTGTCCATTCCTGCTTCAAACTGATGACCCACAAGTACTGTGTCGGTCTGCTTGATGGGTTTCAGGAGTCCCACAAGGTCATGGGCACTGCTTGTTAGAGCTGAATACCACTAGCATTGAGATAAGAGCGTGTAAGTGCCGAGATACAAGATGACCCAATTTCAGCTTGATGTTCTGATTTGTTTTCCCTTAAATCCTCTGCCTCTTCTGTTCCCTTATTCTGTAAATGTAACATTATTAATAACATTATTCTGTCACTCTGAGTCATTGGCATTAAAGTAAGCATCCCCTTTCAGCCAGCTCTTTGCTCCTTGTTGGGGTCAATGTTCCTTATCTGCCTCTGCACCTATGCCTAAATGGTGCATCGGTTTTCCTTTCAGAAAGATCTCATTCTATTCAATGAGAATGTGGTTTGCAAGTATACCCAAAGCTCCAGGCAGACTCAAGTACCCCACTACTTAGGGAACCCCAGTCACAGCTGGTAAAGACGCAGGCCCAGTCTCAAAGTGACTGTCCCCCAGTGATACCCCCGAACGAACATCATCCAATCCATCTGCTTTCTGCTACCTAATACAGGTAGTATTTCTTGTACATGTTTCTACAGGCCTGATTTTTAATTCTCAGCCTAAATTCTGGACTTATACAGCAGAGCCTGTGCTTTCCTTTCTGTACAACTGGGGTTTTTAATCCTTAGGGGAGAGACTGAGACTCTTTTAGCTACGCAGTTGACTCAAACTAAGATGTAACAAAAAGAGACCATGAAATGAGGCCTTGAACTGTCCCCAATAATTGCTTTCATCATGTGACCTTATAGAGTAGAGAGGTTATTAAAGGGGTGAAGGAAAGGTAACAGATTTCTGCTTTAATCTGAAGTATATTTCAAGACTTCTAATTTTAAATTTCCCAATTTATGAGAAAACAAGCATCCTTTACTGAGAGAGCTTATAGTGTTTTTCCAACTTGATTTCCCTTAATTATAGGGTTATCAAGAAGATGTCCAATTGGCAACATCAGGACAATGGCTCTGTGTCTGATATGTCATTTTACGGCTAGTGGTCTTTTCAAAACAAAAATGCAAAACGTTGCACAAAGGTTCCCCAAGTGGACCCAACAAAACTGTACTGAACAGTGGAAGTCGCCCTTATTTACGTGATTCACACAGATTTCAGCCTCTTCTTCTGAGAGCTGATTAATCCCACAA